CATCTAGATGTGTATAAGCCCACAAAGCCCCCCTTTCACGTTTTTGCAATTTGCCCTCCATTTTTTTTGCGAGTGAAGCCGCAACAGGTACCCTTGTTCGTTTGTAAAATTTCCTTTTTCCTTTGTGGGCGGAGCCGCAACAGGTAAGCTAGTTTGTATATCTATCTGTTATGTGCATGTGTGTAAGGGCCAGGCAAGGCCAAGCAGTTAGCCTTGAAGCCCTGGCTAGCCCCAATCTGTAGGCTCACATCCATCTGTTATGTGCATGTATGTCGAAGTGAACATGTCACATAGTAAGCAAACTGAAATGCAGTGTGTCTGATACAATTTGCTCGACTGTCACGTTTCAGGCGATGGAGCTTCGCAAGCTTTGCAACCATCCTTTCCTCTGCAATGGGTTGGAAGAAGACATGATGGAAAAGAAACTCACGGAGCTTCAGCAGACCGATGATGTGAGTATCTGGCAGAGCTCCCTGTTGTTCCTCTTCTGTGTATTTGAAGCCTTGTATTTTCTTCTGCAGTGCATAATTGCACTACTGTCTTTCAACATTCAGTCTGCTGTCCGTCGAGAAGATTAGTGCAGCCCCTGCACAAGCATAGCACACAATATAGCAAGCATAACAACACACTCTGAGCAGTGGTTTCCCCCCCCCCCCCTCCCCCTCCTCTTGCAACGAAGGTTACACTCAGACACTGGTTGTAGTAGTGTCTTCGCCAGGAGGTGCTCCCTCTCTGAGTGTTCACTAAATTACAGGGTCCTTTTTAGAGTAAAGCCAATCACATTCGGGGGCACCGGACTGAGTGGTCGAGCAGGGCCACCTGGGCGTCTCTGATCCCACCTATCTTGTGAGTTAGAGAAGTAGTGAGATTAACACAGATGCTTTTGTTTTGCACACCATAGTGATGGCATTGCTTATAAGCAGTCAACAACGAGAGCATGAATCGGGGTTTTGTTTTGGGGAATGTTGCAGAGAGATCGAGCCATGCTCTGTAGGTGTCTGATATTTACAGGGGAGTCTGAAAAAATACAACGGGTTGCGGTGCACTCTATGCTTGCTGGCCTAACCTTTCAGGCCATAGCTGGTCAAGAGGGATTTCCCTCTGAGGAGTATTGGAAGGAGAAACATTATGTCTACTCTAGCGCAATCTACAGAGATCAATGAGGACAGTCGATGAAAACGGTGGTAGAAGGTATCGACCATGCTCAAAGACGGAAACTGAAGTAATCAACCATTGGCAAAGTCTGAAGCAACACTGATTACCGGTTTCCATTTCCGGTTAGCTCACTTTCGTGATGTGTTTTCCTCCGGGTGTGACGACTGTGGTGGCATCCCGGTCCTGAACCAGCATGATGACATTTCTGTGCTGACCGTATGGCGGGCCCAATTCTCTTGCCCTCTGTCACATACTTCCATTTCGCCTCTGTTGAGATCTGTGACACTTGTGTGAGATACCATCACGGGGCTTCGTTGGAATCTAACATTTTATCAAGAAAGAAAAGAAAGATTGAATGATGATGATGATGATGATGATGATGATGATGATTGCCATAATTTGTGATCATGTAGGCATGGGATGGCGTTCACAACAGAACACTTGCACATTTTGTGATAAGGGGAATGGTTGCAAATCATCCCAGCTTCTTTGTGCTTCAGTTCTGCGGCCCTACGGGCATTTGTGATGTGGTATATCTTCTGATATGGGGACATACTTCAGATATTGCAAAGTGTTTTCAAGGCCTCTCAGACTGGTTTTGCATTCATTTTGAAGGTTTTTATGGTATTTATTGTCATGGCTCTTGTTTGCTTTCATGTTCGAGGTTCTGATTGGTTTGTGCTGTCAACTCCTTGGATTAGTCAGCTTCAGCTCTCGAATAATGTTGTCGAAGTTATTGATGAGCATCAAGTCCTTTTTCATCAGCACTAGTTCTCAGTTCCTTTGTTTTTGCGTTTTGGGGGTTGGCCTGGGCTGTGGCCCCAAAGGGCAATCATAGGGAGGGATGGAGCAAGGGTGGTGGTGGTTTGGGGAGAGTTGGGGGCCAGGGGGGAGGGGGGGGGKGTTTGTGTCTGAATTTGGATGTGCTAAACTTGTCCTTGACAGCCTGCAGCAGCAAAAAGTGTGTCGATGGCACTGATGCGCCAGTCATCGGGGAAGATGGTGTTCCTTGACAAGTTGTTGCCGAAGCTGCAAGAGGGCGGCCATCGTGTGTTAATATTTTCGCAGGTATTTTATTGGAGGATATCATGCATGTTGCTAATTTCACGCTTCACCGGTTTCTGAGGGCATGACTTATTTGTTTTGTGTTTTCTGTTTGTATGGTTTGTTTTATAGAATTTTATTGCACCGTTCTTGCGGTTGCTTATACTGATGAGCATTTGCACCATGGTGGAAACATCCATTAAAGAGTTGAGGGGGGCGGGGAGGAGGGGGGGAGGGTTGTGTTGGTGGGGGGTGGAGTTAGCTGCATTGCCCTCTCAAAATTTCTGATGAGATGAATGGTCTCCTGCGTAATGCCTGTTTGAACAATGGTCATGGTCGAAACATTAGGTTCACGCGAGGAGTCCTCCCTCCTTGTTTTGTGAGGTAGGATATATCTGAATGAGGTACAGTTGTGCGTTTTCACTCCAGCTCCGTCTCTTGCTGTTTGCTTGGAGACCCTTTCGGCGAATTACCCTGTGGTTGTGCTTGTGTTCCTTGCGGGTTTGAATGGTTCTCCTTTTTGATGAGGTACAGTTGTACGTTTGCACTCCAGCCCTGTCTCTTGCTGTTTGCTACGAGACCTTTTCGGTGGATCACTCTCTGCTTGTCCTTGTGCACTTGAATAAGTAATGGTTATCCTATTAAATGAGGTATAGTTGTGCGTTTGCACTCCAGCCCCTTCTCTTGCTGTTTGCTGAGAGACCTTTTCGGCGAGTCACTCTCCACACTCCAGCCCCGTCTTTTGCTGTTCGCTAGGAAACCTTTTCACTGAATTACTGCTGGTTGCTCTTATGTTCATTGCGGTTGTGCGCTTCTTGATAAGGTCAGCGTCCAGTCTGTGTGCTCTGTGGCTGTTGATGCGGCAAAACCTGACACCTGACGAGCGCTGCTGTAATTGCAGAAAGAGGTGTTGTAAAAAAAAAGGCAATGATAAGGTTGAAGAGGAAGAGGCAATGCACATGTGTTTCATAGATTCAGTGGTACATGGGTGACTGACTAAGAAGCCCCCTCCTTTGCCTTTTACAAAGCAGCAGTAAGGGCAGTTGTAGTATAGTAGTTGGAGTAGTAGTTTGGTGGTGGTGGTGGGAGTAACAGTAAGGGGGGGGCAAGAAGAACACTCCCAATGGAATAAAAAGTGAGGGATAGGCTTAGTTGCAAAGTGGAGGAGCAGAAGGGTAAGTTCCTATCTGTCGCATTTGCCCAAGGTGCTTTGGCTCGGGTTGTATTGCTAGTATCTTGTCTCATGGCTTTCGGGGTCAATGTCTAGCTGAGGCTTTCTGTGGTGGAGAGAGAGAGAGAGAGAGAGAGAGAGAGAGAGAGAGAGAGAGAGAGAGAGAGAGAGAGAGAGAGAGAGAGAGAGAGAGAGAGAAAGCAAAGTGCATTCATCAGCCAGGGAATGCATGTAGTATGAGACCGCAGTATTGGGCTCTGGACAGCCTCTGAAGTGTAACGTCGCCTGAGCCTCTGCATTACTATGCCAGTCTTTCTTAGCTCGGCGAATGCAAGTGCTTCACATTAGGATGGAAAAGTGGTAAGCGTGATCGTCAGTGAGTCTGTTGTGCTTCCTTGATGGATGTTGCTCTGTCTGTACGGAACGTCATCAGAGAAGTCTGCACTCATTTGCCAAATGTGTGAGTGAAATGCTGACATGCAACAATGCAGGGTGTTGTCAATGTCGTTGTGGCTGACAAATGTTCTCCATGTTTGAACTTGCGGGGGCTTTGTGGTGGTTTTATGTCGTTGTTTACTCAGTTCGTTATCATGCTGGATTTGATTGAAGACTACTTGAATGACAGGGGTTACTCCTATGAGCGGCTGGATGGCAAGATCAGATGTCAAGATCGCCAGGTTGGTTGACTTTTAATTGTCACTTATCTTCGCTGTTGTGTTCGTCATACTTCTCTTCCACTTTGCATTGCTCGTTGCCTGACGACACAGAGGCTGTTGTGTTCGTCATACTTCTCTTCCACTTATCTTCGCTGTTGTGTTCGTCATACTTCTCTTCCACTGATGAATGTGGAGCATGGAGTTGCTTTCGATGTTTGGTGAGAGTGTGCCCTATCATAGGTAGATAGCTTTGTGATGAACAATGTCCAGAATTAAGCATCATCCACTGTTCTCCTGCCGACACAGTTATGTATATCTGTCCCCTGCCGGTGGAGCAGCACATCCATGTTTGCTTGCTGTGACTGCTATTCTACATTCGACTATGGCATTTCTAGCTTGGAAAGGCTTGCCCCAGAGAAACAGAGAGAGGAATTGCTGTGTATACTTTGCTCCTTTCTTCGGTGCATGTGGTGGTATTAACAATTCAAACTCCTTCGCCCTGTCTTGTTTGGTCTGTCGTGCTCAGGCTGCAATTGATCGGTTTAGTGCGGACGGAAGTAGCAAGTTCGTGTTCCTTTTGAGCACACGGGCTGGTGGTTTGGGCATCACACTAACTGCAGTAAGTGTCTGTGGATGAACTTGACATAGATTGTGTATAATCTACTTCCTTTGCATGTCGTAGAAGCAGGAGTTTCAGCTGTATATCCTCATAGAAGCAATCAAAAGCTTTAACAGACTGGCAATCTATTGCTCCGGAGCTGTCTGTCACACGTTCTTTGAAGCTTGAAAGTCGCTGGTTTTGCCCGAAGTTGAACGTCTGACCATCAACTCAGAGGGTGGCTGCCGGTTAAGCAGCTGAGTTTGACGAAGAGGGAGATGACTGACTGGGCAAAGGGGGGAGAGGGTGGCAATGGACTTGTTGAGGGAGCCATTCAGAAAGTGAACTACCGTCTGCAACCAAATAGGACACCTGGTCATTACAGGCTGCATCTGGACTGAAAGATGCTCCAAGTACAGCGATAATAATGAACGGGCATTCTATTCGGGTGAAGATGGGGTAGGGTGACAATGGACTTGTTGAGGGAGGCATTCAGAAAGTGAGCTTATGTTGTACTTGATGCCGAGCGGTGTGGAGTTGTGCTTTCATCGGTCGCTGGCTCTCTGCTTCAGCGAAGCAGCGGTGTAATTTGAAGTGTTTTTCTTTTCAGTTGCCGGAGTTCCGCTGTCAGCCTCATTTGTGGTGTGCGTTTCAATTGGTTTATCTCACTTTCGCCATGTTGCGGGGAATTGGATTCCACCCCTCCTCTTTGTAGAAAAATGAAGATGGCTCTGTAGCTTCCTTCCTTTGTCCGTATGCATTTCAATTGGTTAATGTCACTTCAGCTGTTTTGTGTAAAGCTGGCTTGCTTTTTTGTTTTCTGATGTTCTTTTAGAAATACGAGGTGTACAGGGGCCCACTTTCGTATGTTGTGAGATCGCTCTGTACGACACCACAAGGCAACACCGACAGCTATGTGTGCCTGATGGCTTGTCCTTTTCTCGCATTCCTGACTATTTGTCCCCCCATTCCTAAATCAGCAAAGCTGTAGTGCACACAATTTTTTGTCGTTGCCGTTTCACTAGCCTGCATCAACCCGCGGCGTACCAAACCCTAAAACCCGCCACCCCCCACCCCCCACCCCCCACCCCTGCGCTGGACTGTATTGATTTACAGATGCGCTGGACTGTATTGATTTACAGATGCTCTGGACTGTATTGATTTACTGATGCGCTGGACTGTATTGATTTACAGATGTGCTGCACAGTCACACCATAGGTCAGCTAACTCTGCAATAGTGTAGGTGTTTTGGTGATCTGACCAATACAATTGGCTTGCCATTACCACCCCTTCGAACCGTCCTTCAATCCTTTCCCTAGCACTGCAGTTTTCTCCGGTCTGCCAGGGAACTCACTAACGCGAGTGGTCTATGGGGAAGAAAAGCTGACGTCTTGTGTCTGACGATCACCTACAGGATGTAGAACTTGGTAGTCAGAGAAGGAAACAGTTGCGTATGCTGTGTGGGTGTTTGTTTTAAGTGAATGAATGACATGCTGTTCGTTTTTTTTCTTTTTTTTTCTTTTTTTCTTTTGCTGTTTGTTGGTTTGTTCATCCATTCTGAAGAATTTCTTTCCAATAGAGGTGTTTGTGGGCATTTTGCAAGATGGATGAGTAATCTATGCTTCCAAGCATGGAGACAGGTTGTTGCATTGTGGTTGACTTTGTCAAAGCATCCATGAACACATGCCATGGGAGTTTTTGACAGTATATTTTCTGCCCGGGACCTTTCAACTCTTCTTCTTTATGATGTTGTGGTGGCATTTCTTTCCAGGCGGATACCTGCCTGTCTCTTATACACATCTAGATGTGTATAAGAGACAGGTTCAGAACCTCTTGCGTACAAGGCCGCTTGTTTCCAGTTCTATTCTTTGCGTGGCACATGAGCTGAGCTTGCCTGGTCTTTTTTACTGGGAATANCAGAATGATCTGCAAGCAATGGCTCGTTGCCACAGGTGAGCTGGTATTCCACCGCAGAGCTGCATGCTTTTTTTGGGGGGGGGAGGGGGGGGGCGGTGTTATCGACTTTGTTGATTTGATAGTGGGCCTAAAACTTCCAGACACGGCAGTGTCTCCAGTACCTGATTGTGCTGATTATTTTACATTTTCTCCTTTCGAGAAAGCGGTGTTATCGACTTTGGTGATTTGATAGTGGGCCTAAAGCTGCCAGACACGGCAGTGTCTCCAGTACCTGATTGTGCTGATTGTTTCTCATTTTCTCCTTTCGAGAAACTTTGTACGTCTGCCAGGGATGTGTGGATTTCCAAACTCCGCCTGCAGTGATACAGCTAGTGTGAAGTCATACTTTGCAGTGTTTGCACTGAAGAATGATAATAGAGTGCAGGCCACTCAACATTGAGGAAAACAGAAGTAAGCGAACAAAGGGGGCAAGGTCGTTGGTGGGAGTTGGTGGGTAACAAGGGTGTAAGAGGTCCTGTCAGGATGCGGAGAATGTGGCAATGTTTCATGATTTACTTGTGTTTTGTGATAATGGTGGGATGTTGTGTGACTGTTGCTATGGTGTCTTCACAGGATTGGGCAGACTAAAGATGTGAAAATTTATCGGTTGGTGACAAAGAACACATATGAGGAGCAACTCTTTGAGTGCTCGTCACGCAAGTATGGTCTTGATGAAGCCATTCTTGGCGATAGAATCGGACAAGATAGGGACCCAGAACAGAACAAGGACATTGAAGTCCTCCTTCGTGATGGAGCGTATCACATATTGAAGGCAAGGTCACACAGCCTTCTGTGCTTGAACATCTGACAAGAACACACTGAATAATGCCATGTTTTTCTGTCCAAGTTCCTCATCTTTTGGGAGCGATTCTCTGCTGAGTGGCCTTTTCCTTGTCTTTTAGGATCTCTATTCTATGCGAAGTGACCTGCCTTGCAATGCCCTGCCTGCGTCTCTGATGTCTGTGGAAATGAGGGGGTGCTCATGAGATTGTCGTTACTGACTTCATTGGGAGTGAGGCAGAGGTGGGAACTATTGCGATCAGGTGGTAATGCAAAGCTTGGTTGTGAAATCATGACGTGATACCATGCTGTTCCTGTGCTTCTGTTGCTGTTGTCGAGTCCCTGGCGATGTGAGCGCTTGAGATGTGTAGCTGTTGTCTTGAATGGGAGGGGAGGGGAGGCTGAAACCGTTGCGAGTGGGCGGTAGAGCAAAGCTTCACAGATTGAGCAGAGGCCTGCATGTGTAGACAGTTACCTCAAGTTACGCGCTTCGTGCCACCACTCCACCTATTGCAAGTGCCTATTGGAACCGGATACAAACTTGGATCTCAATGTGCTGGTGCTTTTTCGTTTTAGGGACGTTACTCAGAAGTTGGTGGGGTCTAATGAGCTAGGTCTGGGAAGTTGGTGGTTTAGGGATTGAGTAGAGAATGCATCTCTGATGCCTTGGGTATTAGCTACAGCTTGCACAATGCAACTTCAGGAAAATAATGAGTTTGCATGTTCGCCCTGCAGCAGACGCGAGAATTATCGTGTACTTGGTGGGAAGCGAGGTACGTGGACTTTATGTCGGCGCTGATGTCCAAGGATGGAAAGGCATGAGCTTTTTTGTGGCAGTTTTAGTCTCATTGCTGTAGATTGATGGCCGTGCTATAGAACACGTGAGGACGTTGCAGAATATGTTTTTGACTATTTGTCCTCTGGCTGTCTCGAGACAGTTTATTTTCTCCTCTATTGCGAGCGGCTGTTAGTCGCAGCAGTGGAAGAAATGAATGCTGGAGGCATGGTTTCGGTTGCATTGTTCTTTTGAGTTTGACGGGAACTGTGTGCTGTTGTTTAATGCAGGATGACGGTGCAGAGGAGGCACTTGCATTTAGTGAGGAGAATGTGGAACAAATATTGCAGCAGCGCACATCCACACGGCTTATAGGAGGGTGAGTTTGGCTTCCTCTTCTGTCCTATTCATGAAATTCTCTGCCGCATCTTTCAGGATTCTCTGTTAGGTGTCCTTGGGAAGTCCGGTAAGATTGGAATGATATAGAGAAGATTAACATGGCCCCTGCACAAATCATCCAGAAATGGTCCAAATAAAAAATGAAAAGGGTTCTCTGCCGTACACTGGAGGTCATGGGTTCGATTCCCGACATATCTATCCGATTCCCCACGACCTCCTGTGTGGCATACTTCGGGTTCACCGACTGAGAAAGTTGGCTTTTCCCTCATGGCTGGTTGTGGAAGTCGAGCCTTTCTTTCCAGCCTGTGCCAGGTGTTAGGAGCTTGGGTGCTGCTCCCCGCACAGAGCAGAGCTAGGTAGGCGTAGGCCCATAACCGTAGGATAGCTGAGGCCTGGTTAGTAAATTTAAGGGTGGTCCACTGTCCTAGCCTTAGACCCTAGCCTTAGACTCTAGTCGTAGACCCTAGGTCCCCTGGGCATGTGGATGGGCTCTTGTTTGTCCGGGGTAGGTGATGCGAACATTGCGAGGTAAAAATACGGCTGATCCCTTGCTTGTCCGGGGTAGGTAGTGTGAGGGACAATACTGAGAGAAGGTTATAGCATAGTTAAAAATGCGGCTGTCCCTCGTACGAGGAGAATACAAGCCTGTATTTTCTTTTTATGTTTCCATAATTTAATTAAAAAAAAAAGGATTCTCTGTCAGGTGCCCACGGAACAGTGGGATACTGGGTGGGTGCCTGAACTTTGACGAGTACAGACTGTGACAAGTTCGTTGAGAGAATGTGGGCTAAGGGCATTGCAAAACCGACATAAGTTCCACACCCCCTGATCCTGCATCTTGCATCTATGAAAATGCGTACGCGCACACACAGAAGCAAAATGCGTAGGCGTACGCACAGAACCAAACAGACTGCACTTGCTCAGCAACATGAAATGCATGGGTGACAGCGAAGTTGTCGCTCCAGTGAAAGGTAGCAGGTGAGAGTTGTCAGCTCCTCTGATCATACGTTTCCCATCCGTGAATATGTATACAGTGGTGTGCACGAAACCGGGCACACACTGCCATCGCTCAGCAATATGGAAGTTCGTGTGTGAAAGCGAAGTGACCGCTCTAGTGGCCGAACAATTTTGGCATCAGCTCGGTCTCCCCTGCCTGCACCTGATACCCTCCTTAGCATTTGCACAGACATACTCACACGCACGTGCATTCTCAGTCTTAAGGATTCGTTGCTGGCTAACTGCAGAGCCAACTGCTAACGTTGATGGCTCTGTTCATGCAGATTCACAAAAATGTGGGGAGGTTTCTGGGGCCCACAATGATGTCATTTTTTGCCTCTTCATTTGCCGCCTCGTTTTGTCGAAAACTGGGGGTGGGAGGGGGGAGGGGGGCGAGTACAGGTGGTAAGTCTTCTAAGTCTTCTGTTTTTCCTTCTTTCCTTTGTATTTTTGCTTCCTTTGTATTTTTGCTGCTGTTCTTGAGAGCACTCTTGAACACAATTCACGACCGTGATTGCTCCACCTGGATGAAAATATGTCTTGTATACGTTCGTGCTGGGTGAGGCCCCATAGAGAACATTAATATATTGTAAGCTGGGCTACCAACCGGGCTGCTGGGGTCACTGCCTGGTTGCCCCCGGGCAGCCTGGCCCCGCAAGGGCCAGGGAAAATCCCTAAACGAAAAAGAAATCCAAAAGATCCGGAAAAAAAGTATGTTATGTGGAAAAATAAACTGAACAGCAGCCTTTTCGCTTCTTTTTTGTTTTTCCTTTTTAAAAGGGCAGCGGCCTAATGATATCATGATTGAACTGACCGCCCCCAGGTAATTCAGAATGATTTTCTGGTCACTTGATTGTACCTGGGTTCGAACTTGGGTCTATTTCTAAACATTTGGTGGGTGTACCAACTGAGCTAGCGCCGTTGGTCTGAACAACTTTTGCCTCAGGGTCACATCAAAATTCTTTATCCAAAAATAAAAATAAAAATAATAAAATATATGTTTCTTTCTGTCACTCCTTAGTTTTGTTTTTGGCCCGCCTGGGCAACTCTGGTAGCCTAGATTGCAAGGGGAAAACAAAAGAACTCGAATGCTTGTGTTTTTCGTATTTCGGACGTCCGAATTTCGAATACACTGTTTTTCGTATTCGAATATTAGCATTCTGTCAATTTCTATGCGAATAGACTGTTTTTTGTACCTCGGAGATCCTCGCGTCCGAATACAACACATATGCGCTATATCGGAAGTGCTCCTTTCTATCCGAAAAAATGGACTGACTTTCAAAATAAGTCAAGTACAATGCGTATGCGTTACGTTAAGGGGGAGAGTTGAACTTCTGAACAATGATTTGGAGGTGTGGGCACCCTGAATTTCAGGGAGCACTTCTCGACTGTGACGTAAGGGCAGAGTGTGAGATTCCAGGAGGCCGCGCTTATTTACTTGGTTGCTGAGATGGGGAACTTGCTGTAATGCATGTGGTCCTGCTAACAGGGGGGGAAAGAGTACGTTCTCTGTTGCAAAGTTCACAACGAATGAAGATGAACCAGCGACAAGCCCTGTGAAGACTAGCACAGCGCTGCCAGGGAAGCGGTTTTGGGAGGAGCTACTTCCGGATGCTTGTGAAGCAGCACAGTTGGCTATGAAGGCAGGTCCACAGGACCTTGCCCTGGGCCCAAGACGGAGAGCGCGTGTGAACTACTGTGAGAGTGCACGGAAGGTTGTCTTTTCTGAGGAAGAAGGGTCGTCTGATGATTCGCGGGAAGGAGAAGCAAGAAGAAAAAGCCGGGGAAGAAAAAGACAGAGAGACGAAAATTACGAGGTCGCATCCGATGAGGAGTACAATCAGAAGCCATGGACTGACCATGATCTCAAACGACTGGAGGACAAGCTTTTTGTATTGGGACTAGGAAGGACTGGTAAGGAGGTCCTCTTATCATTTATGGTTGGTTGCTAAGTGTGTATTGTTTCCGAGCTTGTGGTTGTGACTACGTGAATATAAGACCTCAGGGTGAGCGGGGGGGGGATGGTTGGCAACGAGATTTACGGCTAAGTACATGTAACGTTTAGCAACAGCAGGGGAACCCTGGTCCTTTGCTGGTGTTGCCGCACTCAGCAACCCAGTGAAGTCAGAAATATTCATCGAAAGTCAATGCACATGCAAAATTTGTTTGTTCGACTTTCTTCACGGAGTAAAGCACCTGAGTTAAAGGGATAGCATGTTAAACTGCTAGTACACGGCCCCAGCCTTGCTGAAAAAGAAACTCGTAGCCTTCAAAAATTTCGGAGGCTCAGCCTACCTCACCACGATGGCAGGCAGCGCCAGTCAAAAAATAAAAAATTTGCACGGTAGCGGTTTGGAAAAGCTTGGCAGTAAGGGGCCTGGAGGCCCGAGTGTACTGCTGGTTTAAGATGGACAAGAGGATGTGCAATTCGGAATGAAAAGGCAAATTTGATCTTGCTAGTGCAACTCTGGGTGGGAAGGTTAATATGATTTGGTAGTGAGGAGGGATGGTTCTCTATTCTTGTGAATGCCTGCGATCTGGGTGTGCATGCAGAGAGAGAGAGAGAGAGAGAGAGAGAGAGAGAGAGAGAGAGAGAGAGAGAGAGAGAGAGAGAGAGAGAGAGAGAGAGAGCGTGTGCGTTTGTATGTGCATGTGTGTGTGCTGTCTCTTATACACATCTAGATGTGTATAAGAGACAGGGATGGGGACCTCCGTTTTGAGCCTTCTGTTTCTATCTGGTGTCCAAGCCCATTCTGCTGGATCAAATTCCAAGTCTTGAATCGCCGTATCTACTNGAGAGAGAGAGAGAGAGAGAGAGAGAGAGAGAGAGAGAGAGAGAGAGAGAGAGAGAGAGAGAGAGAGAGAGAGGTGCTATGGTGCTCTCTCTCTCACTGGAAGAACAAAAAGTGACAGAAAGACGGAGAAGGAAAACAGTTAGGGGAAGGCTAACACCAAAAGAAATGAGAAGAAACACAGACGTTACCTGATGTGACTGGTATGGGATTTGGTATTTGTTGCTGATTGACCTGCTCTCTTATGTGATAGTCAGGCAGGATATCCACGACTGCAAAACATGGAGAGTACTGTACTCGGTCAGCTCGCCAAGTCTCAGACTTGAGATTTCTACAAGTAGATTTTGATGTCAATTGGCTGATGTTTTTTCAAATGATGTTGGCAGGTCAACTTGCGCAGGAGGCTCGTCTTGAGAACAAATCGTTGGAGGAGGTGGATGCTGTTAGCAATGTGCTTGTGAAGTATGTGGGTGAGGTGGTCAGAAAGGAAATCGAAGCATTGGAGGCTGGACTGAATGGGAACGACATCACCACTCCAAGTCCTAGCGCTGAAGATGATGAGGACATCTTTAATGTCGTTCCGGCCCCGGAGTGTGCCGCAGCAGCCTTGTCGGCTCCAAAGTTCCGAGAACGAATGCGGCGGCATGGGTCAAGGTTTGTTGTCTGCCCCTGGAATAGTATGTTCTAGTTGGAAGTATGCTGTGAAACAAGGTGGCTGCGTCTGATTAGGCTGTGTGAAAGCGGGTCGTGAGTGTCATGCCTGGTTGTATGCTTTGAGAAAGGGAACGGGAAGCTAAATTTGTATGTGATAAATCAGGCACAGTGGCGTGAGAAGGCATTCTCATGGACATGTCAGTGAAGCCTCCCTTTTCAAGCGCCGCTTGCACACTTCAGCACCTCGCAAATATCCATTTTTTCCTGTTCACACAATGGGCTCGTTAACCCGTTCTTGCCCCTCAACCGTCTCCTTGACTTCAGACACCTGCCCCAGGTCAAATAGGAACAAGACAAGCTGAGGGCCTTCTGCGCAAGGATGGCATGCATGCATAAATAGAGAAACGAACAAAAAAAAAGAAAAGTATAGAGGAAAAGGGAAGTCTTTTTATGGCTTAAACCTCGAGTACTTGGTAGCCTTTTTTCCCCGATACTGATTTATGCCATGTGCCGAGTTTCTTCAACTGTGCAAACTTGAAAAATTTGGGCTGGCTCCGCGAACCGTTTTGTTTTGATATGCTGTTCCGCGAACCGTTTTGTTTTGATATGCTGTTCCGCGAACCGTTTTGTTTTGATATGCTGTGCCCTGAAAGACGAGGCATGTTCATGGCTTCCTTAGAGCCGAATGGCTAAGGAAAGGTACCGGTGGTTTAATGTTATGTGTTTGTAGGAAACCCTGTATCTTGCAGGTTGATTTTACTTGTACTTCAGTGTCAGTACGGTCAGCTTCCTTTAGTTTGTGTGACCTGTGCTCTTGATTTTCAATGCCCTTGCACTCAACTTCATTTTTTAGCATTTTTCATTTCCTGCGAGCGAATCCAGAACATGTCTTGTTGTAACTTCTGACCCAACATTGATGGATTTCTTCTTTCGGTGATTTCTAGGTATTGGCAGCTTCTGCATGAGAGGAAGGTGCTCATGCATGCCATGATGGTCTCAATGGATTACCCGCCGCCTCTAGCAAGGTATGCTGATCGCTCTGGTGTTGAACCCTGTGTGACATGTCATTTTCGAATAGGCGACTCCTGGTATCGCTTGGAGTGATGCTCCACATATGCAGGGTTCAATTGCCAGTCCTCTCCTGGACCAGGAAGTGCGAGCCCTGATGAAGGGGGAATCTATTCCAATTACCAATGGCATGTCAGAAGCGAAGTGGTGATGATGCTATTGCTGGCCCATGCCCTTCCCAAGCCAACAGCTACCGCCGTAAAAAGATGTGTGGTGACACGTCTTTTTTTGCAATTACGGATGACCGGGGCTTGGACCTCTAAACTACCGCACCCTCTTCCAGCATTTCTCCCTACACCCCGCAAAGCCCAAACAAACCCCATTTATGCTTTTCATGCTGGTTAGCATTCGCAGTCTCTCTGGCAGTTTTTTTGCAGATGCCTGCATTCTTCTTTGGTGGGCATGGAATGGTGATTACTAATTAGTAATTAGTTGTTACTATTTGGTACTACCGTCTTCACCGGAATACAACGTATGGCCATTATTGCTGTATATAGACTCGAAGTTTCCCCAAATACGGCTATAATGACCGTACGTTGTGTTCGGGTGAAGACGGTAGAGTCTTGAAGGCATCTTCTCAGATGTTTGTCAAGCGATTGCGATGATGACATTTCTAGCCCGTGCTGGTCAGCATACTCACTCTTTCTGTCAATTTTGCAGTGAAGTATCCATGGTACTTCAGGACAACGAAGTATCAATGATGGTAATTCTAGTCCCTGCTGATTAACATTCTCTCATCTGTGGATCGTGGAGGCCACTTTGTACAAGTCCAGATGTAGTTGCACTGTTGTCTCTCAATTTTCCAGTCGTATGTGTGTGTACTTGGTTAACTACTATTGAAGGCATCTACTCAGCCATCCGTTCAGCTATGTCACAGAAGTGAAAGGAGTTTCGTAAAGCGCGAAAGGTTTTTGGTAAAGCACGAAAGGTTGTTGATTACCCTCTACACCGTGAGTTATTTCTCTTATACAAGTCTAAAGTTCAAAAGGTTGTTGATGGCCCTCTATACCGTGAGTTGTTTTTCTTACGAGTCTGGACGGCATTACTACTCTTGAGGTATCTACTCAGCCAGCTGTTAAGCTATGTTTCAAAAGTTTCCCAAAGGAGTATGGCGTAGCGTGAAAGGTTGTTGTCATTACGAGTCTTGAACTCGTCTCCTCAACCGTCTGTTGAGCCAGGCTTCGAAAGTTACCTTAAGGAATCATGTGCAGCATAGGGTTGTCGATGACACTCCACACTGTAGTTGTTGTTTCATTGAGGAGATTACGAGTCCCGTGTTTGAAAGTGCCAACACTGGAAATACATTGTTGATGACACATGTTGATGCAACTAATCAACTACTGGTAGTGTTTTTCCCTCTGTTTTGCAGCAGAAGGAAGAAAGCAGACTTGTGTGTCTGTGTGTTTTGTTAACGAAGTTGTCGTTGCCTTGTTTGTAAGCAAAATGACCGTGATGAGTGAGCCTATGGTGGAGCAGTTGCCACCTTGGCAGCCTCAAGGACATGAAAGCAGAGTAATGTGGGTTTTGTGAAGGAAGTTGACGACATCTTGTATGTAAGAAGCACGAGCAGGTGATTGTATGAATGGTGATCCAGGTTTAGATTTTTAGATGCGGAATTTGCTGTGCTTTTGTTGTTTTCCCCATGTGCTCTGCAGGAGTCGAAAACTACCAGAATGGTGGTCTACTCAAGAAGACCGTGATTTGATGCAAGGAGCACATCGCCATGGGCATAAGGAGTTTGACAAGATCAGGTAAGTTGCAATGACCATGACACTCGCATCTGGAGAAAGTTTTGTGCTTTTCTGAAAAGCCATCGCCTGTTTTTCTGTCTTTGCTGTGTGTTTTCGGCCTGCCGTTCAACGAGTGTGTGAAAAGTCCCAAATCCATTGCTTGTTTCTGTGCTGCCGTCCCCCCCCTGGCCACCTAAACCCCCC